TGCAAGCTTCCAAACCTAGCTCCTCAGCTGAAACCTAAATTTAGATGTCTTAATCTGGAGCTGAATTCCATCTCTAATAAGCTTAAAGTTAATCACGTATTACATTGCTAAACCAAGGTCTCCATCAATACGGTTTTGGTCAGCAAGAGTCCTGAAGAACTGATTGCAATAAACTCATGAGCACCTAAAGGACTGAGCTGACAGAGCATACTTTGAGGTCTGTACAAAATGCAAGCAGCAGTGTTCCTCAATAAATACACATAAATACAAACTCAAAGTTAATCCACCGAGCAGAAAGGAATTTCTCAACCATGGTTTGCAAGACCACATACAGTATTTGTGAATTTTTTTTCAACAAGGAAGCACAATCAAGCTAGTAAGAAAGCCAGATTGCTGCAGAACTGTTGAACTGCTTGGGCTCTTCAAAGATAGCTAGTGGGTTACTATAAATATTCAGGACATTACCACTTTTAACCTTATTAAAGGTATTTGCTTTAAATCTTCCTACCCTGTCATTTTCATTAGTACTCAGCTATTCATTCAAAAACATACAAAGAGAGAGAAAATACATTCTTATACATCTTGTCAAACCTGGGGAAGACAGCACAGAGCTTACATCCAGAGAAGGTCAATGGGTTCGTACCGTTACAGAGGAGTCATCTCACCCCTACATATGTAGTTTATTCAGTCCTAATCTCATAATATAGATTTTTGTAATGCTGATGAAAAATAACTCAAGGACCACGGTTTGGAAAAAAACCCCAAAAAACCCGCAAGCCTGATCATCAGAAACTATTAAGGATAATAAAGGGTTTACAAAGTCTTATTAATCTCTCATTATAAAATTCTCAAATTGAAATGAATCAGTAAACTCTTAAACCACTGACTTATGCATGTGAACCAGTGCCCAAGTGATCATTATGAAAAAGCAGAGCACCAAAACATGAAAAAACATCAGTTAAAAATTAAAGAGCTTTTGTGAGAGGCATTGTCAAAAGCAGGTTCTGAACAGACACTGTTCTACAACCTCAAATACAACATCACTTCTGTGATCTTACCAATTAGTTTACCATGACCCTCACACAAACTTCAAAACACATTTCAAACAAAAAGATAATCACTTAGCACAAAGTATTTGGAATGAGAATTTAATAAACTGAAAGAGGATGCTACAATTTTATCTTTTTGTTTACATTTTTGCTGTTGAGACTTGCTATTCTACCTGTCTCTTCCATGTAGCCCATTATTCCCATTGTCCTTAGAAGCAGACCAGAAAAAAATCCAAACTCATACTCTCCCTGTTTCTCCCCAAAAAGTGACACAAAATCATCTCCTGTAAGCACCGAGACATCTGACTGCTTGACTTCAAGTCTACAAAACCAGAAACCTAGTAGCACAGAAACGTGTCCTTAAATAAAATGAAACAAAAGAAAATAGGAACAGAACCAAAATCTCCTGATTTAAGTAGGTAACAATTGAAGCTCATCAACAGACAACTAGACAATCCTATCCAGAAAAGTGGAAGAGGGCAACCAACGCAGAATGAACTGTTGTGATGGCAAAAGCAGCCAGAAAAAGGAACTAGATTTCAAAATACATCTAATTCTTATGGCTTTACACTCCTAAGTAAAATATTTAGGGTTCCTTTAAAGATAATTTTATTGTTCCTTTAAATACAAACTACTCTGAGAAAGCAAGACACAGAGAACTGCAAAAGAAAGCTCAAAAAGAGTAGGACGCTGTGCATTGCTGCCAATCTAGACAATGGAAGTTTCCCAGCAAAACTCAAAACTTCACTAATGTGCATGGATGCTTTTTTCCTGAAAAGTTTCTGATGTTAACCAAAAGATAAAGCTGATCAAAGAAACTTGAAGAAAATACCTACTGCAAGTGTTCCAGAGAAGTCTAGAAATAACAAAAGACTTCATACAGTATTCTTGAAAATAAGCACACACTTCACCTAACAGAAGAGATAATACATGCAGAAATCTGGATGACAAAGAGAAAGTCTCCAATCTTCTAAGAGAAGTATACACGCACTACTTTTACCAATACATACTGCAGCCTGGGGAACATGATTTTATCGTCAAGGGAAATCAATTCCTTGTCAGAGTTTTGAGTATTTGGCCATTGAGGAAAAGAACACCCAAAATTAACCGAGCCTACTCATATGAGTCATTTCATTTGTCTTGCGTTATCTGTGAATGTCCTCCTTGAGTGCTTTTTAAAAGAGTGAGTGGATTGGAATAGCATAGTTCACAAGAATATGCAGTTCACAACAACTGCACAGATTATCTTGTGACACAAAAAACGGGTAATTCATGCGCAGCATTTTACTGATAATCCAGTCAACGAAGAGATTTAACCTCATAAAATGTCCCCAGCCAACTTACTCTTTCAGAAGCGTAAGGTTCTGGATTTGAAGTAAAAAAAAAAAAAAAGTCACTCAATCTTTGTTACCTACAGATCTTGAACGCAAAGATGCATCAGAATTTTCCTATCAAAACTCTGGAGAAAACTCCACAACCATTTTTCAAATCAATGATAAACTGTTTAGTCACAGTACATGCTTCTTGCCCTTTTAAAAATTGTGCTATTAAGACAGAAGGCCCACTTCTTCAGACCCATGACCAGGAAAACAGCAGAACATCACATGGGTCAGATAAAGCCTGCCTCTTATGAGTCCCTTTCTACTACTCCCACTAAAAGGATTAAACCAGTCACTGTTTTTCTGGACACGGAACTACATCATGGAACACGTTTTGTGGTCCGCTGACTAACTGCATTATGAGGAAGAAAAAAAAGAGATTGATACTCGCTGCATAAGTAGTTTAGTTTAGTACTCCAAGAGCAGCAGCAGCAGAATCCAGTACGAGACAGAGGAGAACTTTCAGTGAGGACAAACAAACTGGTCAAACTGGCCCAACCTACGTGCTTGCTCTGCACCATAAGAGGCATTATTGCACAATACCTATGACTTTCACAGTTCTAAAGATAAGCATTTCTGCTAAAGACAGTACAGCCATTCCAGAAATTTTTGCTTACAGAAATCAGACCACAAGGAAAAGCTGTCAAATTAATCTTTTAACAGTACCTTCTTGTGGATTCTGACCAATGACTTCGCATGTTTTCACGGCATACTGTTACGTCCCATACCTTCCCCCAACTATGACCTATTTTGCTCATCAGACAACCAAAACACTGGACATTAACAGACGGGTGAGGAGGAATACATTCTTCTCCCTTTTCCCCCTCCTTTTTCTTTGGACAGCAATGCACAGAATAGTTCAAAATAAAACTACGTAAGCATTGATACACAAAGCATTGTTACCAATTTGTTATCACTTGTAAAAAAGAATGGCTCGAAGGTAAGGAAATAGATGCAAGATGCATTATCTTCAGTGTGACTTATTTTCAGTATATGCCACACACACCATCAGGAACTTCCAAGACACCTGATTTTTGTGATATGACAGAGCTTT